GAAGTTTTCAGCAAAAGTGAACTAATCCGGCTTTAAAGGGTTGTATGGTGCTCAAAACTATATGAATTTAGTGTAAAAGAAATGCATTGGCACTTGCATTTAAATATTAGATAAAAATGTTAAATGTAGAGCAGATTAATAATATGTATATACACTCTACAGAAACAAGTGATATCACATGTAATCATATGCATATGTAAAATAACACGATCGTCAACACTAAACAACATATAAAATCCAAACTTCTTAATATTAATGAACGAAATGTAGACCCAGGAGGATCTATAGGTGTTGATGGACTCGATCTACTCCATCTATATTTTGATCATCATCCTGAATCCAATCCAGATGTAGTTTTGGATTTTATCCGTTATTTTGGCTCAAAATGTTGTTGTGCGTAAAATTCCTAGTATAAAACTGTTATGTTGTTGTTTAAATGCAGAGGGCCTGTTCTGTGCATGTTCAGATATTCATACAACAAATTATTCTGGGGGCCATGAAATATTTGTGAAAATGATTAAAAACGCTGGGGGTGACTGGCAACTTTTTTATTTAAATGTTCAAAGACTCAGCAGCTCGGGTTGAGTTCGGCAGGTTATTTGACCAGCTTGAAACAGTCAGGGTAAAGGTCACTTGTTTCTCTTTGGGATGGCAACACAAGGCATCGTTCACAGACTTCTGGAAGGAACATTGGCCTGAAGAAGTGAGTTTAGGTTTAGGGGTGCAGAGTCAGTGGTTGTTTTGTAGGTAAACATAAGTGATTTGAATTTGATGCGAGCGGCAATTGGCAACCAGCGCGATTTTATGAAGGGAGGTGTGACGTGCGGTCTCTTCGGCTCATTAAAGACAACTCTAGATGCAGTATTCTGGATCAATTGCAGAGGTTTGACAGTGCATGCTGGAAGGCCTGCCAAGAGAGCATTACAATACTCCATTCTGTATGGAAAAAGAGCTTGGACGAGAAGTTGTGTATAGCATGCTAAATATAGTCCATTTATGTATTTGTATAATTAGCATAATGTAAATATTTTCAATTATTGTTAATCTGGAAAAATCGGTGTTGTTTTTATGCAGCAATTTATTTGATTTCACAGTTGGAACACCCCGTATACTGCAGGGGAAAGATCACAGAGGTCTGTATCTCTGCTAATTAGTCCCTGTGCAACATACAGTATATGGAGAATAAAAAAACCAGATTGACAGAGAGAAATTTAGAGATCATGAAGGGTTGTGAGCCACTGGAGGGGGCACGACTATAATGAGATCTTCACATAGTGACAAGGCCACTGACTGGAAGAAACCATATGCAAATAGCCTCTTTTAGCAAAGTGCGCCCTGTGAAACGTAGCTTTACAACACGATTTTAGCTCGTGCTCAGTCTGAAATGTACGATTCCCCCAGGTGCAAACAAACAACAAATAAACATCTGATGATCAAAACGCGAGAATCGCTCTTGCGGCACTGGAGGAATATGCTTTGACAATGACTAATGTTGACAAAATAGCTTTTAGCAGAGGCAATATGGAAATAACACAGTGTAGCGGCAGCGGGTTGGAATGAGGTGATGGTGGGGCAAGCGGTCAAAGCGTGAATCCAGTCACAGTCTAATAGTGAAATATGGCTGGGTCAACCACCCTCATATACTGTGGCCAATCTTCCATAACCCTACACCTTTTGAAGGAGGCCTGTCGCTCTTTTCAAAGCCTGGCTAGCTGCTCCGCTCAAGCGGCAAATGTGAACGTCAAATCGGATTAGCGGGAACACTCCACCTGAACACAAACCGCAGCCCTGTCCACTCCCATCACCTCTGTTGTCTTCCCGTGTGACAGCTATTTTATTGTGTTGTTTGTATGATTGGGTGGGAATTGTTTTAACCTTGTGGCCAGAGTGCCACTCCTACAGTTGGGATCAACACTCTTGTCACAACTCTTACCATCAAAATTCCTTGTGGGTTAAGGTTCGGTTCACCTATGATCTGAAAAGGCTGAGTTAAGTATACTTTCAAAGTACACTGAGAAATCAAAGTAAAAAAAAAAAATAATCTCAAACTGAGTTTGAACAAATCACATTTCTAGTCAATTGATTTTTTATTAAACATAATATCTTAGGTGATTAAATCACAAATCATTAATTTTGTCTTTTTATCTTATAAATTTGTATTGGTACAACAAATATAAGTTCAAATCAAAAGCGTATTCAGCAAATTTTTTTTTCATTGATTTTACTGTGTGAAATTTGGAAAAAATAAAATAAAATGAAAACATTTTTGTCAATTGAAATTAGACTGAAATGTAATAAAATATTAATATAATAAAAGGCTTAAACTTAAAGGAAAACTCTGACTTTTTGGGACTTTAGCTTATTCACCATATCCCCCAGAGTAAGATAAGTCCATATATACCTTTTTCATCTCCGTGCGTGCAACTCTGTCTGATGCACCCACCACTAGCCTAGCTTAGCACAAAGACTGGATGTAAATGGATACCGCTAGCATGCTGCTCCCAATAAGAGACAAAATTACGCAAAAAAATTCCTAATTATATGTTGTGATTTGTATAGTCACAGAGTGTATAAATAACAAGGTCATATGAGACAGCCATCTTTAAACCATATAAATATTGGGAACTATATTCTCAGAAAGCGAAGCACTGCTCCTGGGCGGAGTGATTACCGCAGCACCTGAGACGGGTGCGTGGTGATGAGCAGAGAGTTTGTTCAGAGTTGGAGTAATAGAGTCAGCAATTACTATATAGTTTACAATCATGGGTGTTCGTTGTATCGTAAAGATCTGCAACAATAAACAGGGGAGACCAGGTAATACCATAATAATAATAATATCATAATACATTTATGATTTTTAAAAAATAAACATTAATAGCTTTAAGCTCAATTATAATTTAAAATTATAATAAAAATTACAAAAGCACATAAAATGCCATACTTAAACTAAAATTAAAACAAACTCTGAAAATGTAAAAAATAAACATATTTTCAACACCTTGTCAGTGAATATTGATGCAAATAAGTATTTTCTCAAATGTATTATATTAACATGTTGAAATATTTTTTACATTTATTTTGCACCAAAACTGCTTAATATGTGAGCGAAGAATTGCCGCAGTCTCTCCGTACCGTTACCAGAGCCAAGTAAGACACAGTAAATCTTGTGTAAAAGGTCCATAAAAATTCAGAGATGAGATCTGAATTCAAATTTGAAATGTAATCACCAAGCGAGCACTACAGCAGAACACGAAGATCCAGAGTCTCCACAGGCACCCTCCAGGCACACGAAGAAAAGTGCTCACATTGTGATGGTGTCTCTGTGTTTCTGGCAGGAAATGCCTCCTATGATGCCCCTAACTTCTGGAATCACACTTGGTGTAAAAGGGGAAAAGGAAAAATCCAGCGACCTAGCATTATTTATTACGGAGGAGGCAATCAAACATCAGTCAGATCTAAGTCTTCCTATCAGAGCTGCTTTAGAATTGGCAGCGGATCAAAAACATAATGACAATGTATAGGTCCAAATTAAGAAATAAGGCAACTAGTCTAATAGTCATACAATATCATTCATACAGGGCTTGACATTAACGTTTTGCTCAACATCCACAGTAGGGGTGAGAATCTCTAGGCACCTCACGATTCGATTAAGACTCAGAGGGCTACGATTCGATGCTAAAGCGATTAGCGATTATCTGAATATTTTGTGTGTGTGCGTGACTATAAATATGTTGCTAAAAAAAGTACAAAGTAATGACCCATAAAGAATTAACATACAATATTGTATGGGCTTCTCCCTTTACTTTATGCATCCACGTCCCCCTGATTGTCACATAGACAGTAAAAGATTGCCTGCGAGCTTCTCCTCTTGTCTATAGTAATGTCTCTATTGTGTGACAGAAAGTTGCTTGTTTATGACTATATTTTTACAAAAACGGCTTCTACTGCAAGATACAAAGTAATGGAGCCTTTTATACATTGTCATGTTTCAAATAAATGCTGGACAAATGAAGTCTTTGGACGCCCCAGATGTAAAGTTATTCGCTGTCAAAGTAACACCAAATGGAGTCAACGTAATGCTAAGAACAGGTAATGGTCTGCTACAATGGCGGCTCCCGTGAGGCTTCAACTTCACTTGATGGCGTCTCTGTTATGTGCACGCCACAGACGGTCCACGCACTGCACTTTCGCGCTTCAGATTTCCGTCTTTCGCGTTCCGTCAATATTATATAATATACAAATATACATACAGTATATATATATAAAAATTTTTTTTTTTTTGAAAATCGATTTTTGACATTTGTGAATCGATACAGAATCGTCTACGTCCGCATCACGATGCATCGTAGTAGTAGTTACTTACCATAGTAGTTACTGGTTTTCTGTCCCTCCATTGACAGCAACACAACTGTACTTTGATGCCACAAAAAGTTCATAAAGAAATTGTAAAACTAATCCATTTGTATTGAACGGTTTAGAGCGAATTTACTGGAGAGACACGATCACTTTATATGCTGAAAATATTGAATTTAGGCTTTCATTCACATATAAACATTCATCAATTCATACATCAGTTGAGTTAAACAAAGGCCCAATGAGAAAGAACCAGAGGTGTATTCTCGTGTGTTACGCAGCACGTTTGAGCTTCGGCAAAAACCAATGAGGTTCATTCTCATGTGTTATGCAGCATGTTTGAGCTTCAGCAAATTAATCCTAAATTAAATCTGTTCATCATATAAAGCAATGAAGTCTCTTCAGAAAATTTGGACTAAATCGCTTAATACATATGGATTAGTTTTAATGATCTCTTTATAAACTTTTTGAAGCGTTTTTGGAACTGTGTTCCAAAGATGAATGAAAATCTTATATCTGACATCTAATTAATGACATAATTTTCATTTTTGGGTGACCTATCCCTTTAAAAAAATAGATTAAATAAACTGGCAAGAGTGTAAAAAGAGTGTTTTAAGAGAATTCATTAGACAATAAAGTCCACGGGGTCCAAAGTGTCTAAATAGCCTCCTTATAAACCTCCTTAGACATTATTAAACCGAACAGTGGTGGTATCAGACAGGGATGCAGGGCACAGAACTGAGTAAAGACAGCACCGAACAGGTTGTTAATTACTCGCAAACATCTCAGATCTGAGAAATTACAGGTCGGGAGCAGCCAACGTGATTATTATCATCAAAACTCAAGGCAAGAAAACTTATGCACAGCTGAATTCCCCTTCCAGAAAAGTAACCCACACACATGCACTCATTCCACCTCGATCAGAGCAAGCAGTTCTCCTCGTTCCCCTATACAGTGCGGATGGCTTGCTCTTTTCATCCTTTTTTTTAAATTACTTCTGTCAGAGAGGAAGCTTACTAAATAGTTTTACCTGATCGGCCGTGCTCAGCTTGATCGAGCTACTGGGATAATTCTGTTCAACGTAGTTTAAAAGTTAGTCTTGTGCTGGAGGGGGAAAGACAAGAGATGAGATGTGTAAGTGGGCACAAAAGCAATTGCGGTCTGTAACAGAGTGTGCCTGATCTCCTCACATAACACCGGGTACTGTATTACGCTCATTATGCCTACAGAGGGACCGCCGAATCAAATCGAGTACGCCTATTGTGTAAACAGAGAGCTCTTTTTATATCTCATCCGTCTCTACACGATACCCTTGTGTACTCCAGAATAGAAACCCTTAAAGAAAAGTCACCCTTAAGCCAAGTTCTATTAAAGAACCGGTTGTTCTAAGGTGGAGAGATGAGAAAGTCGCCCGCAGCTGTAAATCTGACGCTCTGCCTCATTCACCTACAGTTAGTTTTTGTTTCTGACAGTTATCGTCCATTAGTTTTCCGTTTGAAAGGTGTGCGTGCTGGATTCCTCTGGTCGCTGTCTCTGAGTCGAGCTTCATGAGTTGCTACGTTCTGATCACAGAGTTCTGCCTCTAATTAAATAACTGTAAATCATGATCCAGGCAGACTTTAAGATGAGTGTCGGAAAGATTACACCTCCATAATAAAGATTAATCACGCATAACACCGACTCTGTGGACAGAGATGGAAAGGGAGTGAAAAACAGCCCAAGTCCTACATCAGCCCATCACAAGCCATTGCACATAATCAATCTCCCACTAGATGTAACACATATGCATATAATAGAGTCTAATTCATCGATTTGGATTTTCACAGTATTTTGATACTGTACTTTTTACACAGCAAGTGCGCAGAATAAAGTGACTAAATAAAAAAACATTACTAATATGATCTGATTCAATGAGCGTTAAGGCAGATTTTCATAGGATAGTTCACCCATAGGTGAATATTATCATTTACGGTAGACTATATGACATTTTTCTCTTCATGTGGAACACAAGAGAAGATATTTTGAAGAATATTGGTATAGCTAAAACTATTTCAGTTCCCATTGACTTCCATTTTTTTTTTTTTTTTTGATGGACTATCCCTTTAAGGACCGCTCATGATACTTCTATGGCACTTATTGTAATTTACGAGCAACACGGCAAGACTGCCGGTGGGAAATGTACAAGTTTGTTTAGATTTTTTTGTCCAATATTTAGACCTCAGGACTCTTCAAAAAATCTGGTTTTGTGTTCTGCAAAAAAGAAAGCGATATAGTTTTAGAATTACATGAAGGTGAGTTAAGCCCCGTTCACACCGCCAGTGACACGCAGCAACAAAGCGACAAGATCCCATTCATTTCAATGGAACGCTGGCGACATCCGGCGACAGGAGCGACAGTGACCGTTGGCGACAGAATGTGGGCGTGTCAAGCGACAAAAGACAAGTGACAAAAGTTGAGAATTTTCAACTTTATGCAAATGAGAAGCGATTTTCACGAGCGACAACCAATAGGAAAGAAGACTTTCAGTGGAGCTCATGTCACCGTCTCGAGTGCAGGGCAGGAAAGACAGAAAGAAAGAGTTTGAGGACGATTTCACTGTTTTATGATTTGACTGTAACCACATGGATAATAAAATGATGCATGGAAAAGAAACTGTCAACTGTCTCAGTGAGTTTAATTCATACATTTAACGTTATAGTTCGAGTGTTGTAATTTTATGATGCACGTTTAGCACTGCTGCAGTTCATTTTACAATTTCCCCTGCATTACGTTGACTCTTAGGGACAAGAAAATTGATTATTTGTCAAATTCGAATGACGTTTTTATAATTTGTGACAGTATGAGTGAGTTTAATTTGTTCATTCGATCGATCGTTGATCTAGTAAATGATTTAATCCACTGAACACAGCTGTGGAGATATAAAAACACTCTCCCAACAGCATATGGTTTCTTTTTAGCCTTAAAAGTCATTTATTCCCAGTCAAATTAAAATTATATATGTGGTCTTTTGTATAGATATGGCCAGACGTGCAGTCTACCAATAACACCAGAGCGACAGCACTACGAACGCCCACAAGCGACATCACAGTACAGAGCCTAGCGACACACAGCGACAAAATCGCTGGCGGTGTGAATGGGGCTTTAATGTCGACAGAATTTTCATTTTGGGTGAACTACCCCGTTGAATCTTTGCAATATTTCCTATATAAATTGCATAAAAAATTTGTTTTTGACAGCTAACCCACAGGGAAATTTCTTCCTAAGGCCATTGGATCCCGTGTGTTGATCACATCACATCTTACTGAATCCTTTCTTCTGCAGGTTATGATTTCTCCGTCTCTCTCTTTCTCTTTCTCTCTCTGTGCCTCTCAGAGAGGTCAACGCCTTACCCCCTCCCCGTAGCCTGCTCTCTAATTAATCACTCATTAGACTAATCATCATTGGTGCAGTGCTTCACTAGTGGCTCTGGGAAGCCTTACTGGCGGCAGAGACAGCTTGGAAGAAGTAAGGGAGGAGAGAGAGAACAGAACACACTCCCATGGCCTGGCTCATTGCCATGCATGCTAAGCAGTTTTGCGAGCAATCACCAAGAGTAACAGTGAGGGGCCGCAGCTCTAAGTGGGGATACAACTTAAGATATTTCTCCACTCTTGTGCGCTGGTGTTTTGTAGAGAGCATTTTTTCCTGGAGCATTTTGCCGCCTTCATCTGGTTTCTTACGCATAACTGGAAAAGCTAAAATCTTCGAAACTCCAATACGCACAATGCATATTCAAAAGCAACATTCCCTCTACGTGCATTAACGGCCGTGCACTTCGGCTGTTGCTACTATGTAGGAAGAACAAAATTAGCGTAGGCTAAAAGCTGTGTGTGGGGGGGGGGGGGAAGCATGGGATTTGCTAAATGAATGGAAGGCATGTCAACTGGAGTCCATCCATATATGATTTCATTTTGAAAAGTTGTGAGAAAACTAATTAAAAACGAGTGACTGTTCTCCTGGCGCAGTTAGCCTAAATATTTATAATACTATGTTTTTAGTTATTGTATAAAATGAAACTCCCACAAAGTGTGGGTTCACCAAAATGTAATAAATAGCTTGAAAAACAACTTTTTTTAAATTATATTTTTAGTTACAGTTAAAGTTTCTTTGGAAAGAATAGCCAGTGAAGTCTAATAATTGAACAAAGTTAGATGGAATACTGTTCAGGATTATTTATATTAATATTAATGAAGAGACTGCAATATGTCACAGTTATTTACATTTATTAATATATGGCAGTATAAAAAAATGTTTTCAATTTTGTTTATATTTTAATACTTCTAAAATATGTAATAATTAAACACTGTTATGTTAGTTAATGTGCCTTTGCAAAAAGGTAAATAAAAATAATAGAGACACAAAAAGCATTTGTCAGTCTCAAAAATATGTTTTATTATTATCTTTAAATGTAATATTTAATAAAAACTGGTTTATGAACGATACTAATGAAGGCTGCAATACACAATTAATAGTAATTGCACTGAATATCTTTCCTTTATATCTACCAATCACACTGGATGTAGCTTTTAAACCCCACTTTTTATTCCTTTTTCATTTTGGCTAAGTCAAGAAGTGCAGGCCATATAAAAGTCACCCCATCAGGGACAGTGGCTTTGAGAAGACTATTTTGTTGCCTTCCGAGAGCCCCAAGGAAATAGAGTTCGGATTAAAAGGGTTTGCGTTTATAGAGTTTTGGTGAGGCTTCCTTTGTCTGATGCCTGGTCACCTTTACTGTCACCGTGAACCCTTAAAATGAATCTGCACTGTAAAGAATAACACGTACATGGCCATATCTCTGCAATCGGTTACAATGAATCTCGGTTGTCATATCACCTTCCCAGTATCACAGCGGGGAGGAACACTAGAGTGAAGAGCTGAAATAGCATGACTGAATACCTTGTTAGCAGCTTTTATTTGGCTTTTCTGCTGCTGTTCTTTGTTGTGCGTACACATGCACACACTGAGAAACCCCAAATTATGTAGATAAGCGATATGATCTCTGAATCATCTAACTAGTTCCTGACCATGTTTAACAAATGACACCTGCTTGAACAAAAACCACAAAGACGAGGAAGCAGAAAGCCAATAACTTAAAGGTTAAAGTCAGGTTCTTGAGAGGTTCAAGACTGAAAACAGAATGATCCCAGCCTGAATCTCTCTCAGCCAGGGTTCAAAAAATGTCCGTAAAATAGACCAAATGTGAGACTTTGTTAAATCTAATTACAGGGGTAGTTGGAGAGAGAGAGAGAGAGAGAGAGAGAGAGAGAGAGAGAGAGAGAGAGAGAGAGAGAGAGAGAGAGAGAGAGAGAGAGAGAGAGAGAGAGAGAGAGAGAAATACTTTTTTTGTGAGTAAAAAAAGTCCAGATTTGAATACACTGCTTGGGTAGGTGTGATATTATCCTGCACTGAGCCCGCTTCAAATTTAGTATATAAGCCTGAGAAGTGTCAGACGTGATTGAGTCTGAAAAACAATGGGAAGACAGGAAAGCATCAAGGAGTAGTTGCTCATGTTTCATCGTCAGTCAGTGATTATTAAAACATCACTCCACACTTTCAAAAGAAACATGCTGGTTAACCAACTAAAACCAAGATGGGTTTCATTAAAAAAAAAAAATAAATAAATAAATAAAAATACACATCTTGTTAGTCAATCCGTTGATAGGTTAACGGATTAGACCGTAAAAAAACAGGTGCTATAACAGTGAGTAAATCAAGGCATTTTCTTTTTCACCTCAGTGGAATACTGTACTGGTTGAAATTCTCACTTATTTATCATTTGAATGGGTGTGCATAATACTAACATGACACCTTCAGTTCATAATCATGATGACATGACATGTTATGAATATGAAGGAAGTTTTATGCATGTTTGTGACATCTGTCATTAAGTGTCATTCGCTCAGTTATGACATTTTAATGCAAATATGACATTGTTTGAGATGTCTTTGTTATGACACCTTGACATAAACCAATACATCATAACCTGTCAGTGTCTTCGTCATGACAACTTGACATACTTTACAACTTGACTAATTATCAAACTTAAGAAATCACCAAGCTTTATT